TGCTAGGCAGGCCGAGAGGGGCAGGATAATCTGTGGCGCCAGTATGTGGCCATGGGCTGTTTGGATGCCTGACTGTGATTGTAGCACGTTTGATTTTGGAAGTCTTCTTCGAGAAGGATGGTCAGATAATCCTAACTGATCAGCGCGGCCACAGCAGCAAAATCAGGAATAGATCAAGGCAAATAGCGCGACCTCAGTGTGGGATAGGTGCTGTCGACAGATCAATAGCTGTACGGTGCGTGAACGTCAAGTAGCTTTGGGCCCATTAGACAAAGGATTTAAACTAAATTGAAAGACTGGAAGTCGCAGAGTGAGCGGGATAGAGCATGTTTATTCAGTTCTATTGAATGGAGTGTGTGTGTGAAGAAATAAAAAGAGTTTGATATGTCATTACTGTCGTTATGGTAGGTTGTCTCGACTTGCTTACGTTTCACTGATGAAGGGACGTATTTCCTTTGTGTAAGATGGAGGTACGGGGACTAGTATGTGTGTGAAGTACCTCTGTGCGAACAATCAACGTTATTATCTAGTTTATTTCTGTGTAGTAACTGAAATGCTTCAATTGGCTACTTTAGAGTGCCACCATATTCTCTAGCAGAACAGAGTGGAGTGAGTGAGGTACTTATTTTAAATTCTCATTCCACATCTATTGCTAGATTACCAGGCGCTTGCGCTTATGCAATAGAATAGTATTGAACTTTATATCCAAATTTTAGCCGCAGCGTGTGGTCTCACGCCTGTGAGCGCTGCTGCGTGTGCGGAGGAGAGCGGTTGCTGACAACTTGCTCAAGGTCAGAGTTGCGCTACGCTAGCCGCCTGAGCGCAGTAGAGCGAGAGAGATCGCCGCGTCTGCGGAGTAGATTAAAAGAAGAAGAAGATGGCGAAGCGCCACCGGCCTAATATTATACTGTAAAATATACTTCTATATCTAAAAAATGAAAGGAAATAAATACCTAGCGCGCGTGGCTCTATTTTGAAAACCGTAGTGCGCATGCCTGTGTAAGTCCGCCGCTCCTCGGCAGAGCGTGTCTAAGGCAGAGGTATAGTCTAGGGCAGGTTTGAGTTGCTTAGGGTCTGCGCGGCGCAGCGAGCGCATCACTCTAAGCCGCTGGTGGCAACAAAGCGGGGACTCAGTGTCTTCAAACAATAAAAGAACATAAAAATCTGATTAGAGAACAGCACACATGTACTTCCAGCAGCATATTGGTAACATATTACGCCTTGGTTCAAACCACCGTCAGGTGAGGACAATTTATCAGGAATAACTTAAGCATTTTTTCGAGGTGTCGTGCAATTGGGGTTGAGTATGGAGGGCGCCGGAGTGAGGGTTTATGGTTCCTTATAGGATACCGAGCATGGACGGAATGTGCAATGTTTTGAGGGTTATATTAGGTCAATGCTTGTGCGTATGGTACTCGCTTAGGTTGAGGGGATAGTAAGCTTGCACAATTCGTAACCTTTAACATTGTAGCGCGCACGCAACAGAAAGTTAATACGCTAAGAAGAAGGAGGGTTTGAAGTTATAAGAAATATAATGATGGTTATTGTAGATTATGGGTATATGTTCTGTCGGTAGGGCTATATCATTGGTTACCTAGGCTATAATTGAAGGTAGAGAGTTTGTACCTATTAGATGAAGATGCGCATCGTTTTAGTGTCAATTATACTTACTTAAGGTGGCTTAATCGCTTATGTTCGTACGACAATGTGTAATACTCATCCACCCACTTATGCTCAAGGTCCGTTTATGTTTAAGTCAACAGTGCAGCTACCACAGGTAATTCCAGATCAAGGTGCGAAGATACTTTTTATTAACAGACATTTTTTCTCTAGTTTGTCCTCACTAAACATGATTCGGTTATTCCTGATTGAAAAAAAAAAGTAGCAGAAGGGCGAGACGTTGGGGATTGCACCACATCGATAAGAGAACTGTGGGCCTCTAAGCAACCTTATATGAACGGCAAACTGGCCTGAGCGGAAGGATAATTAGCGTTATTCTGTACCTAATATTTCCTCTAGAGGAACATGCAGAGTTTGTTGTTTCAGAGAGACGGAACACAATCTGATCTCCGAGTCAAGGACCCATGTAGGTCGTTTCTGTATTAATGTACCTATGCTACAGAACCTAAGATGGATGTCTCATATAGGAAAATCTTGTTATACCTATTCTCTTTATCTAATATGCTCAAGCAGCAGCTCCTGGTGCGTAGACACGCTGAAGGCAGAACTACTCAAGTGTTGGGGAAAGGTGGGGTGATGTGGCACGGTCCTTAGGAATAATGATAAGGAGCAGTTCTGAGTAGTGTGATCGCTTGTGAGGCACTCAGTGGAACTGGGGTACGAAAGTAAGTGAGGATAGCCCAAAGTTCTGGGCACACCCGAGGCCTTGGGCCACGGAGAGGGCAGGCGCAGGCGTGGGTGCGTCAGGTTCTCACTTTGACTGCAGGATGTTAAACAAGAGTTGGAGAAGATGGGACTCCTTTCCGGTGTTCTTGGGCCATTGTGTGGCCTGACTTTGGACCATTTATGTGGCCGCTGGCGCACACGCAGGGCGTTGATGTTGCACCTGTGCCCAACACAGTTCTTGTTTGTTTTTCTAAATAACAGCTTCATTGAGATTTTATATGTCACACAGGTCACCAATTTAAAATATACAGTATTTTTTTTAGAATATTCACAGAGTTGTACAGCCATCACCACAATCGATTCTACATTTTCATCATCCCCAAAAGAAGCCCTGTAAATATTAGCAGTCACTCCCCATTTCCCTCAATTCCCAAAGGCAACCACCTATTTACTTTGTCTCTATGGGTTTGCCTCTTCTGGACATTTCATATTTATGGAATCATGCACTACATAGTCCTTTGTGACTGGCTTCTTTCACTTAGCATGTTTTCAGGATTCATCCATATTGTAGCATGTATCCATATTTCATTCCATTGCCAAATAACAGTCCATTGTATCAATATGCCACATTTTATTTATCCATTCATCAGTTGATGGACAGTTGGGGTTGTTTCCACCTTCTATTATGAATAATGATGCTATTAACATTCATGTACATGTCTTTGTGTGCACATGTTTTCACTTCCCTTGGTTATATACCTAAAAGTGGAATCACTGGGTCACATCATAACTATTCTATTTAACCTTTTGAGAAACTGCTAGATAGTCTTCTGAAATGGTCACATCATTTTACAGTCCCACCAGCAATGTATGAAGGTTCAATTTCTCTGCATCTTTACTAAATCTGTGTTTGTGTGTATTTTTTTAAGAGACAGGGTCTCATTGTACCATCCAGGCTGGTCATGAACCTCTCATCTCAAGTGATCCTCCCACCTCAGCCTCCTGAGTAGCTGAGACTGCAGGTGTGTGCCACCACACCCATCTTAAATTTATTATCTGTTTTTGACTATATCTATAGCCATCCTAGTGGGTGAGAAGTGGTATTTCATCATTTTGATTGTATTTTCCTCTAAATAATAATATATATATATTTTTGAGACAGAGTCTCACTTTGTTACCCAGGCTAGAGTGCCGTGGTGGCAGCCTAGCTCACAGCAACCTCAAACTCCTGGGCTCAAGCAATCCTACTGCCTCAGTCTCCCAAGTTGCTGGAACTACAGGCATGCGCCACCATGCCCGGCTAATTTTTTATATATATACTTTTAGTTGTCCAGCTGATTTTTTTTTTTTTAGTAGAGACAGGGTCTTGCTCTTGCTCAGGCTGGTCTCAAACTCCTGAGCTCCAAAGATACGCCCACCTTGGCCTCCCAGAGTGCTAGGATTACAGGCATGAGCCATTAAATAACTAATAATATTAAACATCTTTTCATGTGCTTCCTAGCCATACATATATAGTATTACTTTTGGTAGTTTATTATAGGCCAGGCGCAGTGGCTCACGCCTGTAATCCTAGCACTCTGGGAGGCCGAGGTGGGCAGATGGCTCAAGGTCAGGAGTTCAAAACCAGCCTGAGCAAGAAGGAGACCCCTGTCTCTACTAAAAAATAGATAAATTAATTGACAACTAAAAATATATAGAAAAAATTAGCCAGGCATGGTGGTGCATGCCTGTAGTCTCAGTACTTGGGAGGCTGAGGCAGGTTGCTTGAGCCCGGAGTTTGAGGTTGCTGTGAGCTGGCTGATGCCATGGCACTATAGCTGGGCAACAGAGTGAGACTCTCTCAAAAAAAAAAAAATATATATATATATATATAGTTTATTATAAATGTTACCTTGAGTAACAAAAAGCTAGTTAATGGGACTTATAATCATAAATAAGTATAGAGGCCAAAACAAGGTTTGAGATTGCCCTAGTCCAATCAGCCTAAACCCACCAGGGGCAAAACTATGGTCCAACAAAGTCAGGCTTGTTGGCTCACCACAAGGAGACTGCAGACCGGGCAAGGTGGCTCACGCCTGTAATCCTAGCACTGGGAGGCCAATGTGGGCTGATTGCTCGAGGTCAGGAGTTCGAAACCAACCTGAGCAAGAGCGAGACCCCGTCTCTACTATAAATAGAAATAAATTAATTGGCCAACTAATATAATAGGAAAATTAGCTGGGATGGTGGCACATACTGTAAGTCCCAGCTACTCAGGGAGGCTGAGCGGCAGCAGGATTGCTTGAGCCCAGGAGTTTGAGGTTGCTGTGAGCTAGGCTGACGCCACGGCACTCTCTAGCCTGGGAACAAGTGAGACTCTGTCTCAAAAAAACAAAAAAAAACAAAAAAAAAAAAAACAAGGAGACTGCATACCACAGGAATGGTAAGGTGTCTCACCAAAGGAAAGATGGTCATAGGTGAAATTGAAGTGAAACAGAGTTTGATAGGCTCAAGGGAACACAGGTGAAAAAAGGATCAACATCAGCTCTGGACGCAAAGTGGACCCAGGGAATTAGTTCCTCTGGAAGTGCAAAGTTAATATAAATGTGGAATGTTGTGTTTAGAAACCCTAGCGTTGAAGCTGTATACTGGGTTGGAAATCAAGGCTGCTTCTCTATGTCAAAGTGACTTAGCTCCTCTAAGCAAAACTGTAAGACTTCATTCCCACTGATACGATTTCACACAGTAAACTTTGTCAGCATATGATTTTAGAGAACAAAGTTTCTCATGAATTAAAAAAAAAAGTCCATCTTGTGGAGAGACGAAGACTGAGCGGTTGCGGCTGTGTTGTCGACTTTGAGCAGCACTCAGTTTCTGCACGTAGAACCTGGGATTAAGAGATTCAGAATTGAATCTCTTCTCCCTCCCCCCTCCTGTGAGATTTTTTTGATCTTCAGCTACATTTTTCGGCTTCGTGAGGAACCTTATCATCAAACGCAACGGCTAGCAATGTCACCAACAAGACAGATCCTCGCTCCGTGAACTCCCGTGTATTCATTGGGAATCTCAACACTCTTGTGGTCAAGAAGTCTGATGTGGAGGCAATCTTCTCGAAATATGGCAAAATTGTGGGTTGTTCTGTTCATAAAGGCTTTGCCTTCGTTCAGTATGTTAATGGGCAAAATGCCCGGGCTGCTGTAGCAGGAGAGGATGGCAGAATGATTGCTGGCCCAGTTTTAGATATTAATCTGGCTGCAGAGCCAAAAGTGAATCGAGGAAAAGCAGGTGTGAAATGATCTGCAGCGGAAATGTACGGCTCCTCTTTTGACTTGGACTATGACTTTCAACGGGATTATTATGACAGGATGTACAGTTACCCAGCACGTGTTCCTCCTCTTCCTCCTATTGCTTGGGCTGTGGTGCCCTCAAAACGCCAGCGTGTATCAGGAAACACCTCACGAAGGGGGAAAAGTGGCTTCAATTCTAAGAGTAGACAGCGGAGTTCTTCTTCCAAGTCTGGAAAGTTGAAAGGAGATGACCTTCAGGCCATTAAGAAGGAATTGACTCAGATAAAACAAAAAGTGGATTCTCTACTGGAAAACCTGGAAAAACGTGAAAAGGAACAGAGCAAACAAGCAGTAGAGATGAAGAATGATAAGTCAGAAGAGGGGCAGAGCAGCAGCTCCCAGAAGAAAGATGAGACTAATGTGAAGATGGAGTCTGAGGGGGGTGCAGATGACTCTACTGAGGAGGGGGACCTACTGGATGATGATGATAATGAAGATGGGGGGGATGACCAGCTGGAGTTGATCAAGGATGATGAAAAAGAGGCTGAGGAAGGAGAGGATGACAGAGACGGCGCCAATGGTGAGGATGACTCTTAAGCACATAGTGGGGTTTAGAAATCTTATCCCATTATTTCTTTACCTAGGCGCTTGTCTAAGATCAAAATTTTCACCAGATCCTCTCCCCTAGTATCTTCAGCACATGCTCACTGTTCTCCCCATCCTTGTCCTTCCCACTTTCATTAATTCATATTGCCCTGCGCCTAGTCCCATTTTCACTTCCTTTGATGCTCCTAGTAGTTAAGTCTTACCCTGTAACTTTTTGCTTTTAATTTTGATACCTCTTTGACTTAACAATAAAAAGGATGTATGGTTTTTATCAGCTGTCTCCAAAATAATCGCTTGTTATGCAGGGAGTACAGTTCTTTCCATTCATTCACGAGCTAAGTAGTTGCTTCCCTAACTGCAAAGGCAATCTCATTTAGTTAGTAGCATCTGAGAGCAGCTTTGAGTTAGAAGTGATGTATGTTATACCCCACATAAGAGTGCTATGTGGGGGCAGTTCAACACAAATGTAACAATGTATTTTTGTGAATGAGAGTTGGCATGTCAAATGCATCCTCTAGGAAAATTAGTATAATAGTCTTAAGATTGGTTTTCTAAAGTTGATACTGTGGGTTATTTTTGTGAACAGCCTGATGTTTGGGACGTTTTTCCTCAAAATAAACAAGTCCTTATTAAACCAGGGAAAAAAAAAAAGTCACTCAGAGAAGGGAGTTGTTATGACACTTTAAGTTACAGCGTGTTCTTGGAAAAAATATTATATCCTGTTAATGGTGCAGCTGGTTTTATCTATGTCTCCCAGTATGTGATGAATGGCGGGGCAGATTTTTACTTTCTCAGCCTGAGCTAATAGTTACTTTCTCAAGATAAATTCACAGGTGACTGAATTATCTCTAGAGAACTGGTTGTCAGAGTCATTGAAATCACTTAACTAACAAGCCTTGGAAGCTAAAGACTGGCTGAAGGTATCATCAGATTATGTTTGAATATATTGCCAACAACTCTCGATGAATGAGGAGACATTGGTTATCCTCATCCTCATTGGTTATCCTGGAACATTGGTTCCAGATACTTTGCCAATTTGCTGGTGTGGCCAAGACACAGCTATTTATTCACCACTTCATTTCCTCTTCCAGGGTACACAGGATGACTATTATTTCTTGACCTTCCTTGCGGTTAGATTGGAACCATATGACTAAGTTTGGTAGATGGGGCAGAGGTGAGTAAGCCATCTCCAGGCCTATCCCAAAAAACCTATCTACCTACCTTCAAGGCAACCTGGAGGTCACATGTTCTAGATGATGTAGCTATAAGTTGGAGGGGGAGGATCAACCTCCAAAGGACTTTTTGTGTAAAATAAAACTTTTGTTGTGCTCAGATCCTGAGACTTGGGGGTTTGTTACTACACACAGCCTATTGAGTGATATAAATAATGTCAGTGTTACTCTCCCAGCTTTAGCCTTAAAAACCAGAGAGCAGGAATCATCTATTTCCCATAAAATATACATTGACTTGACTTCCTGTCTCCCACCTCAAGAGGCACTTTCTTCATTGCCTATCCTCCTAAAATGCAATTCTGATCATGACTTCCCTCTGCATAAATTTTCCAGTCTCATACAGGAGAGCAAGGTCTGAAATTTTTTGCAAAGCACAGAAGACTCTCCCTGGCCTGGCTCCTACTTACCAATCTAGCTACATTTCCCACCATTCACCATACAAAACCCCACACCAACTTGGAATTCTCTGAACATGACCATATTCTTTCTTGTCTCTATAGATTGTACATGGATGTTTTCTCTGCCTTAAATGCCATTCCCTATTCCCAGAGAATTCTTCCTCAGCCTTTAAACCTAGTTCAGGCATCCTAAAATGAGCAATTTGAGGGTTGTTTCCCCCATGTCCCCAGGCATAGAAGAGGTAACTCCATATTTTGATAACTGAATAACAAGTGAATGACGGAATGGGAGATAAAAGGTGATGAGTCAGACTCTCAGAGAAGTGTGATCCCCCGCCAGCATCTGGAACGTGACCACGTTGACAAAATGGGAAGAAGTGAATTCATCACAAAAAGAAATTCAGTCAATCTATACATGTTCAAGTTTTATTACAAAGTATGATGGGCAGAAAATATGGTACTTCTTATACAGGAGGCTGAAACAGAATGAAAGGGTGAAAATTAGGTTTAATGTACTTAGGAAACAAGAAATAAAGTCATAGCTATAACACTCCACTTTCAGGTGCCTTTGAAGTAGACTTCAATGGAGATTCCCCATCGTCATTTCACAGCACAGTGTTAAAATTTTATTATAAGCCCTGTGTACAATAAGTCCTGTGAAAATAATATTTATAAAAGAAAAATGGTTACAGTACAGTTCTGCAAGGGGCTGCTTCCTCTCCACCTGACCATGGGATGCCACAAAACCTACAGTATAGAGGGAAAGTTTAAATATGTAACAAGAAAGTAAATTCAGACATACTAGGCTAAAGGGCACAAAAATGGATCGGAGCTTAACATTTCAGAGAGCAAGAAATGTCCATTTTCTACATAGAGGTTTATACAATCATGCTACAAATTCACACTGAGGGTTGGGGGGAGGGAAAGTCACTGGCAAAAGAGGTCATAAAATACACAGGAACCAAAGCGAGTGAGTCATACTCGACTAAACCAATTCAAAGCTGCAGCTCAACAATTTTCTTAACATACTGTATACTACGATCAACCCAAGGTGAGAACACTCCTTTTAAATAGCAGATATCACAAGTTCATATTCACTGGGTTGTCCCGGAGGCAGGTACCTATACGTTTTTCAGCTGTTACACAGACTGTCAACATGTTTCTTCCCAAGTTCAAACTTTCTTTAGCTTATTTGTTTCTGGTTGGATATACCAGTGCAAGCCTCTTTGGGAAGGCACCTGCATGTTTCCATGTTTAAAACATGACATCCAGAAAGTAGCCTGAGAGGACCTGGCCCATCCCATGTGGCCACACATTTGACTTTGACCATTAGCAGCAATGACAACTGTAGGAGGAGGAGAGGGTGTAGGAAGGTGAGGTGGGCAAGGCTCTGCAACATGAGACACTCTCAGTAGCTGACCCAGCCAGGGACTGGCCCAGGGTTCACGGTGACGGCTCAGCTCAGCTTTCTTCCTGGGAAAACCCAACCTAAGTGCCAAGCATGACCCTCTTTCCTTGTCCTGGAGTACAGACAGTAAAGGGAAAGGCTTCTACTTCAACGGTCTCCCCTACCCCAAGCCAGGCAGTCCAAGGGGCTGCCATATTCTCAAAGTGGGGAAGGTGGAGGGACAACAGTACTAGGCTGCCCTCCCATGCTTGGTAAACCCTGCAGCTCCTACATGTCCTTACAGCCTAGGAATCCAAGGCCCAGGCTGCAGTTGGGAGAAAGTTCTACAGTGGAAAGGCAAGAGAGAAAAGAAGAGAAAAAGGCGGGGTAAAATTCTGCATTACTGATTACAACCTCTGTTTCTGCTTTGTACAAACCTACAACCAAGAAGAACCTGGTCTGGAATAATCATAGGATTCCCAACAGCTGTAAGTTTTTAGCACCAAACCACCCACGGCTGCCCTGCTGAAGGGATGGGTTCCCTCTGCCCTCAGCTGTCATGCTGTCTCCAGAGGGACCCAGCATCACAGGTGCCTCAGGAATGGTCTAGAAACGCTGACCCAGGCTGAGGGTATGGTCTCACTCCACAGCCACACAACAGTCTGAATGCGTCCCCACCTCAGACCTTCATGCCCTCTAATATCTCTTCCTTTGATCTAAAGAAAACACCACTGATTTTCTCCTGCATCTTCAATCTCCTAAAATTTCAGTCAACTATAATCAAAACTCTGAGGATTCTGAATTCTTTCTATTTCTTCCTGAATCTTAGCCATTTCTCTGAGAGCTGATCCAAGTTCTGGTAAGAAGTTCTCACCTAGTTATCAAATACCTTTCCTCTTCAAGTTCTAACCTTGCAGGCTAGAGGTTCCAACTCTCCAGAATGTAAAAACTCAAGTCCTTGAATGACTGTACTGGACTTGACCCATTCTCCAGCTTCCTGGTGGTAGAGATCTGAGGCCTCATTAGTTCAGCACCTCTGCCCTTCTTCAGAGCAGACCAAGAAAGCCCAGGCAGCTTTGGCCCACCTACCAAGAGCAAAGGGGCCACCACGAGCTGAGCTAGAGCCCACGTGGCCCTCCTGGCAAAGTGCTGGCAGCTGCTCCTCTCACACTTGGGGAGAGCAGATCCAGAGTCTTTCACTCAGTCTCACTGGCTGCAATTTGAGAACCTCAATAAATTAAACAGCCTTGCTTTTGAAACTATAACAGATCTGTGTTTCCTAGAGCACAGCTGGCTAAGGGGCTTTCTAAATTCTGAGACTACAGAAATCCCCTCCTCAGCCATGGGTCATCTGACCTACAGTGTAAAGGGAGGGTGAGAGCTGGGACATCAAAAGACCAGGCACCACAAGTATGTGTGTGTTTGCTTAGGAAGGTGAGGGTCTAACCTGGGACATCAGGAGGAGGACTGCACTGCCGGGCCTAAGGAAAGATGACAGGGATGAGAGTTCACAGGGCAAGGAAAAAAAAAAAACAACTTAAAAGTTGTTGATATCCATAGTAAATAGCTACTTTTTCCAAATAGTTTCCAGTTATTATTATTAACTAATTTTTTTGAGTTGTTTTTGAGCTCTAGTTGATAAGTCTTACCACTCAGACCAGGTTTAAGTGCAGATCAGGAAAAATATTTAGAACTCAGCTGAAGTAAGCTCTGCCCCAGAAGGACCACCCTTTCCACCTCTCCTACTTCTATTTCAGACCCTTCCCCACAGGGAGGAAATGATGGCCTCCTAGACCAAGCAGCCACCAACTCAGACTTGCTGCCCCTGAAAGAAGGATCCAGTAAGTATTATCAAGCACAATGAACAGCAGAGGAGGGTTCTGAGCAAGAACTGCTTGTTTTACATCTTCCAATGATGTAGTACAAATCTGGTGGTGAACGAGGAGAGTTCAGGTCAAGCACATGGCCAGCCAAAGAGCCCCCAAATCAGAAGCACAAAGTAAAAAGGTACAAGGGGAAATACCTTGACTAAAAAAAGAGCCTTTTTCTTTGGGAGAAGCCCCGGTGTAGTAAAAGCAAAGAGATAAGACTTTTGACATAAAACTACACCTGCTTCTGAAAAGGAGGACTCAACCAAAAAGAATTTAAGGGCACAAAAGAATGAACTAATTTATTTCTCAAGCAGATGGGAGCCTAAGTGGACAAAACCATCAGCCGTAAGGCCTGCTATCTCCTAATTGCAGACGGGCAACACAAAGGTTCTTAAAAACCTTCAGACACTAGGCACAGCATGAGGAACCTGGCCAACTGTCCCCCAGAGCATGTCCCAAACTCTGCCTGGCCCAAGTACTCATCCGACACTGGAATCACACACAAGCCCCCTCCTTGGAACACATTCACGTAACGGAAAGACACTTGCGGTTTGTAAGTCAACACAGACAGCTGCAGCCTCCAAGTCCAATACTGCTCAGAACCTAAACTGGGGAAGGGGAGGGGTTGACAGGTATGGGTAGAGCTCTTAACTGGCTGACCCTGGGGGGGTCTATAATTCTTTTTACCTATCTAGTCACTTATGGCCTAGGGTTGCCACATGAGAGCTGTCAGTCCCCACACTCTACAGATCTTGTTCAGGGTCAGAAGCACAGACTATATGCCTCCCAAGAAGACACTCACCTCAGAACGCCCAATCCAAAAAGTGGCCAATATTCTACCAGTTGCAGAAAACTCAACCAACAGAAATACCAAAATTCAGTTCAGAGATCATTCTTGCCTATCATTCAAGACACGTAATGGAACAGCCTGGGGCTTATATTTGGAGGGAAAAACAGACTCTGAAACTAAGTACTGAAAATACTCTAAGTTCAGCTTCCTGAAACTATTCCCTTCAAGTTAGGTACCCCAAGTAGACTGCCTCTGTCAGCTCTACCATGTTCTCAGCGGGCACCAGTGGGGCTGGACAGTGGTACTTCAGAGGGTAACAGAAGGTTTCCTATGTCTCACTGCGAACCCAGAATGCCCTTGAGAAGAGCCAAGCTAAGAAAAGGTGTAATGAGTGAGGGGACTTCAGAGCACCAAGGTGGTTTCGGGACTCCCGGTTAGGTATGTACTACTCAGGCAGTGACTCAGGAAGGCAAACTGCTCATGGGGTCAGGGGCTCAGTACCAGCTCTAGGCACTGAGGGAAGAGAGGAAGGTACAAAGAGGGAGAACTATAAAACAAAGGAAAAAACCAGGAAGAGTAAAATTCTTTTCCTAAAAAAATTAGCCTGATAAAAAATATACAAAGTTAAAGTTTGTTAAAGACATTGACAATAGGAGGAGAGACAACTTCAAATTGGTATTTGTTCCCATGTAAACATAAGTGCTAACATGGACATGGACGTGGACAAGACAGGGGCTACTGCCTTGGGCAGCAAACAGAGGGAGACATCTGGGGCAAATGAATACAAACATAGCCAGTGCTTGACTGCTCATTAACATGACAACTGACAAACAAATATACAGAAATTTTTAATTGAGGAAACAAAGGAGAAGAGGAAAGGAGAGAAAATCTTAAAACTCAGCCCTGGGCTGAGGAGGCGCCACACAGCACTGAGTCCGGCACAGAGAGCGATGGGTAACTGGCCAGGAACTCCTAGAGCAGCTTCTGGTAACAGTGGGTGCAAAGCAACGAAAGACATACTGGCCACTGGAAACATGTTTCTTCTTACTTTGGGGGTGGGGCAGAGGCGGGAAGCACACAAGCCCCTGCCTCATGGGCACGGCGCCACTGACACTACACTCTGAGTATCTCCAGGCAGTTGTTGTAGCAGATGGCAATCCAGTCGGGCTGAGTCGACGCCCACTGCACATTGTTGATTTCTCCTTCGGCTGTGTAGGCCAGGATAGGGTCCTCGATGGCCCGGGGCATTTGCTGGATATCCCAGATGAGAGCCTGATGGTCATCCGCTAGGGACAAAGAAAGCCAGCAAGCAAGGTCACAACTCAACCAATGGAGATGACAATCCCTGCATTTGGGGAGTGAGTCACAGTTCACAAGCATTTGCTCACCAAAGTCCCTGTGAGGGAAGTTTTATTTTAAGCCCTAATTTTATAGATGAGGAAACCAAGATTCAGTAATGTTAAGGCACTTGCCCCAAACCACACGGCTCTGCCACTGGTGAGTGGCAGAGCCAGAACTCAAACGTAGGCCTTGACTCCATGTCCCATTGAGATGTCCCTGGACTCCATCCACTGCACCAGTTAGGATCCATCCAGTTAGGATGTCAGAAAGGGACTTACACCTCTCATCTGGGTCAGCCAATAAGAGAGGACAATGGGATACCAAAACATGTCATTTCAGCCACTTAAAATATTCAAGTGGTTAGAAATCCTTTTCTGATAATTCAATATAATGTGAACTTTTTTCTGGTTTTAGGGACATTTATTTACACTTCAATAAGATGTTGTACAGAAGACTGACATAAAGTACTGTGTGGACATGTGCTATTAAAAGGCCATGGGAAACACCAGAAAGATGGTAATCACCTTAAAAAAAAAATATATATATATATATATATATAAGCATGGGAAAATGACTAGAAGGACAGATAATCAAATGAGAAAGGTGGTAATATTAGGATGGTAAGTTTATGTATTATGTTTACTTTTCTCTAGTTCCTAAGTGATCTGTAATGTGGTCATATTACTTTTATTTTTTTAAGAGACGGGGTCTTAGTCTGTCACCCAGGCCAGCTGTAGTGCAGTGGTATGATCATAGCTCACTGAACCCTCAAATTCCCATGCTCAAGTGATCTCTCACCTCAGTTTTCCAAGTCTCTGGGACTACAGGTGCAATCCACTGTGCCTAGCTATGTAACTTTTATAGTCAAAACAATAATTAATTAATTTTTGAGACAGGGTCTTGTTCCGTCACCCAGACTGGAGTGCAGTCACATCATTATAGCTCACTGCAACCTCAAACTCCTGGGCTCGAGCCATCCTTGTGCCTCGGCCACCTCAGTGGCTGGACTATTGACTGGGACTATAGGCACACCACTATACCCAGCTAATTTTTAAAATTTATGTAGAGACGGGGACTCAATATGTTGTTCAGGCTGGTTTCGAACTCCTAGACTCAAGTGATGGTCCTGCATTGGCTTTCCAAAGCGCTAGGCTTATAGGTATGAGCCACCATGTCTGGCTAAGTTCTTAGTTTTAAAAAACAGAAGGCAATGACCTTCACAGCCACAGTGTTCCCTGATTCCACTATGCATCCTGATGTGAAAGCTGGTCTTGGATACACAGGGAATCTGAATAAATTAAACCCTAATAGGTCAGTCTAACTGTGGCAAAACTGGCCTCCTATCAAGACCACATAACCTCAGCAAGGTGCAAGGTCCGCTTCCTAGGAACAATCTATGTCAAGAGATCTGGGGGATTGTTTTAAACGCTCAGCACCTCTAAAGCACTAAGCTCCTTTCCTCAGTGCTCAACCAAACACACTGCAGCAACGCGCCTTCAGTGGAAGGGATGCAAAACAGGTGCAACACACAAAACAGCAAGCCAGGCAAAGGCAGCCAGCCAGGAGCAGAAAACGGGCTTCCTACTGGGCCAGTCCTGCTTTCCATGAACAATGGATGATAGTTTTCTTTTTTATCTTTCCTCTCTATCCTCACTCCTGGAAAAGATAATGAAGGCAAACCTCAACCTGAGGTAAAGAAGGCAGCAGTGAGCCCCCAACTTCTCCTCAGTGAGATATACGGGCAGGAGCTAAAACCAGGAAAAGCTTCATGGCTTTCAAGTCAATGCTTAAATATCAGAAAGACATTGCTTTGGCTCCATAATAAACAAGGTTTGTTCTTTGGTCTGGGAAATGGTGAAATGAGGACTACAAGTCACATACCACTGACCAGGCAAGGCTCTGTGGGGCCCTTCAATGCATCCAAAGCTCAGGTAGGTTCATTAGAGTGAAGCCTGAAAGGCCCCAGGGAGATGTCTATCTTGACCATCCCAAAGATTCTGTTACATCCAAGAGAGATGTCTCCCCTTCCCCACATTCCTGGATCTGAGTCCTCTGTGCCAACCTAGATTTCAGGGAGACAGTATGAGGCACAGGCCTATAACTGATACATGATATAAGTAGTATATGGAAGATGCTCAGATATCCACCAAGGATACAAGATTATCTGGAAATTTGGACTGCTTTAGTGTGGAGAGGCTCCAATTAATTACTTTATGTAAATCTCTCAAAACTGTCCTTGGAAAATATTAATAGTAAAGAATAAATTCTAAGGAGCCAGGAGTGGCAGAGTCCCCACCCCTGGTCCCATATTTTCTCCCCACCATAGTTACCTGCAGTGCAGATGTGGCAAGATGAATGTGGGGCCCAAGCAATGCCATTGACACACGCTCGGTGGTTATTTAACCTGGCGACAGGAGTGCAGGGAACTCGGACATCCAGAATCACCACCTGCAGAAATAACAAGTAAAAGGTCCAGGAGCTTCAGAGTTTCACAGAAAAAGCAAACAAAAAACACTACACACAAAAAAAATTTGAATCATAACTTTTTAGTTTGTGGATTTTAAAAAAATATTATAGAGAGGATTTCCTTAGGATTGAGGGAAAAAAAACAAAGGACATGGGTAGTTTATGGTCTGTATCTTGAGCAACACCAGGCCTTTAGACTGATAGGGAAGGGGAGAAGAAGGGGTGGGTAACATGAGTTTGGATAATCCACCAAGTCCCGATAGGTGCATATGATAAGAATTCTGTGCATCTCAGTTGAACAGAATGAACCCAACCACGGCAGAATGAGGCACTAGCTTTACCAAACCAAGGTCAACTGCTGTATCATTTCTACCCACAATTCACAATTTACTTTTATCAAGTAAAAGATTATAGAGAGAGCTACCATTTTGATGTCTGTTTGCTAAAGCTGGATGAATCTGTCCATACTACAGAAAGGGAAAACTGATTATTTTTTTCACTTGGCACCAAAAGCACATATGATTTGCTTTACTCTTTAGATATTGTTTTTCTTGGCTCCAACCCTCCAAGTATTAAAAGTTCTTAACATATTGTCCTTGTTCCAGATCAGGCTTTCTCAATCTCGGCACTACTGACATTTTGGGTAAGATAAGACTTTGTTGGGAGGCTGTTCTGCGCACTGTGGTATGGTTAGCAGCCAGCCAGGTCTCTACTCACTAGATGCTGGTTGCACCACCTGCCTCCCCTTGAGTTATGACAATCAAAAATATCTCCAGACATGTCCAAAGATATCCTGGGGGCAAAACTGCCACCAGCTGAGAACCACCCTTCTTGATATACTAAGCAGTGCTGGAGTTCAGTGGCAGGGCCTATGCTAGCTTGAGCAGAGTACTCACCTCCATCCCATCCATGGCCATGGTAGCCAGGTAGTTAGGGTCCTGCTTGTTCCAGCAGAGGCGAAGCAGCGGGTGATGCTGTGGGTCTTCGTAAATGATGGTGCTGTGTTCTAGATGGCGGAGGTCAAACATCCGCACCGAGCCATCAGCGCCCACAGAGGCAAACATGTCCCTGCCACCTCCGGCCCGGCTAAATGCAATATCATAGACCTGTTGATGAATAAGAAGCTTCAGTCAGATTCACATCCATTACCTCCTTTTCCCGAAACAGGGAAATCTGCCATGTCCAGTTCATCTAAATTCCAGCTCACAACACAGAAGCAGGTAAATAAAGCCCAAACAGTGTCTGTGAATACTGAACCTGAGAGCCCTAACATCAGTGGTTTCCCAAAGAGTGAACACCATTCTGCTATAGAAAGTGGCTTGCTTCTTCCCACATTCCTGCTTTCCAAGTCTTCTTCCTCCAACCCCTATAATAAAACAAAAGGCACATACCCTGCCAACCAGTGGCTGTCTTCTGCCACACTACAAGAATAAGACATTTCCTGGGCCTTGGTAGCTTTCCCTTTGCACAGAGGCAGGTCCATGACCACATTAAGGCCAAGATCATCCATCTGAGAGGCAGAAGCAGCCAAGCTGATTCTACTGTGAAACCTGGACCTGAGATTCACTTCCAAGAATGACTCATAGGAGGCTTGGGTGTTCCTATATTCACAAATAGGTTTAAGTAACACTCTTTTATCTTAGGGCACGTTGTTTCTGCTCCTAGTTGGTGTGTACCCAGAAATGAATGACTTTAGCTTTGAATCATTGTTTCCCGCATTTATTATTTGCTGCAAACGTTCCATATCATTAATGTCTATGAGGAAACAAAGCAAGGAGCAATGGAGAGCTTCAGAGAGAGAGAGAGAGGGATGAAGAGCCAGAGCCAGATAAGTGGAAAGAGAGACAGACACAAACAGAAAAACAACTGCCAAAGGAAACTCATCTTCTGGGATCAAGAATAATAACAGCTGACTTCTGGGGAGACATGAGTGGAACTTCTCACTAAATACTGCAGCTCCAGCCTTCCTGAGGTTCTGCCTACTGAGGGACACTGCCAAATGAGCGTCCATTTCGAGTCAACCTCATAAATTCCTTTTTCTCTGGCTGACTGTGAATAAATTATGCTATTCTTTCTATGATAGGAATGAGAAATGTTCAAACGGACTGGGCCAGTCATCAGTAAGAAGGCGCCCAGGCCTGACAGATAAAGGCTCTGTCTAGTACTGTCCAGCTACTTTAAGGCAGGGGCATATTTATCAACATGTATATCCCACAATGCCAGCTCTTGGTAACCCTCAAGGACACAGATTCCACAGGTGCCCATGGAGAGTGTGGCCAAGTGCATAACGCTCTCTCAGTTTTAAGCGAGTTTTAAGCTTCACCTGTGTTCCAGCAGTGTGGTTCATCAGAAATGAAGGGAAGGTGACAACTCCCAAGTGTACCAAACCTACTCTACTCTGATCTTCCAGGTGGCAATGAGAGCCTCCCAGATAACTCTTTTCTTAAAGAGAGGTGGACTGAGAAAAATCAAAGGTGCTAGGAGATGTGACTATTTCTCTAAAGCCACCATCCTCGGGTTCATTCGTTCAAGGCCAGGGCACTGTTCCGGTCCTGTCTGCTCCTAAAATCCATTCCTGGACCATCTCCCTGTTGTTCTTTGTATCACAAGAGAACTAATTCATACAGGCTGAGTTTGGTAGGGTCCCAGGTCTGCTGGCTGCTTCTGGCTGATTCAGCCATGGGAGTCCCTGGTGGGAAACTGGATGGTGGGAGGCAGGGAGAAACTAAGGTATTTCTTCTGCCCTCTCTTGGTTCCCAGAGGCATCTCTGCCAGGTAACCCTGCATCCTCCCATGGTCCCTCCAGCCCACAGGCAGGAGCAGCTTCCTGCTGCTCCTATTCTCTAGATTACTTCACTGCTACCTACATGGCTTCTCAGCTTTGCCATCATCTCTATAAGCAATCCCTGGATTAAATCCCCTCAGTTTAAATACTTAAGAGTAGCTCCCATTCTCTGGGTTGGGCCTCACAGAGAACAGCAGGCTAAGTTGTCACATAACTAAAATGTAGCAACCTGTTCCACTTGATGTCAAGAGGGTTTCCAGAAGTTCCTTACTGGTCCTCTCTGCAGGACAAACTCTTCATGTGACCCTTGGTTTAGCAGCAGTCAAGTCCAGGTCTTGTAACAGATCTTACCCTTAGGAGTATAGAAAGCCAAAGAACAACCCCTTACTGAGAATGATAACCTGGTCACCACCCTCTTATTTTGTTAAAAACCTCAAGTTTCTGACCTATGGTCAAGGCATTCTTTTTATCTGTACATATATTAATACCCCTAGCTGTGCAGGGTGAGGTAGAAAAGAAAAGGAAACACTACCTATAGGAAATCAGAGTAGCGCATCATTTAATGGCTCTAGAAGGAAAAGATTTATGTGCATGTTCCAAAATCACCGAGAAGAATACTTTGCTTAAACCGTAGTCACAAATAGCTTTCCTCAGCTTTTCCAATAAAAAAGAAATGTCACCATCAAAGTAAAATATATTCAACTGCAAATAGTAATAAACATATAAAGACTAAGTGAGCATATCAGAATTTCATAAAACATTTTTAGAGAAAAATTGTTAATTAGGTTTGTCCATCAGGAAATTTTCTCTCTTCTTGTCTCCCTTCCCCTGGAAAAAGCTAGTATGTTTCAAGGTAAGTGTTACTCTATAATTATTTTTTATTCATATCAGTTCCCAGTTTGTCTATAAAAGACTTCATTATTTTTAAAAAAGCAACCAACCTCTGGCATGAAAAGAAAATTGATAGACTATAGAATGTCAATTACATCAGTTAAAAAATGCATTAGTTTACAACAGTGTTGTTTTCCACTGTTTTGGCACATTACTATTTTCAATTTAGAAAAGAAGATGTCAGATTTATGTTTTTCTGTGGAATTTGCAGAACAATGAGAGAACTGCCTGCCCTCTCACAAAGAAGGCACAGCATGCATCTATGCATCTGAGGAAAGAAGAAAACAAAAGGGGGGGGGAGGACAGGGGGGAGGTGGGGCAAGGGCAATATACATAACCTTAACATTTGTACCCCCACAATATGATGGAAAAAATAAAATTTAAAAAAAAAAAGAAAGAAAACAGAAAGCATCATTACCTCTTTGTCATGGGCGATCAGTTGGGTCTTCACATGGCCAGACACAAGATTCACTCGCCCTAATACCTGCCCTGTCTCCAGCCCCCAGATGGTGCAAGTTGTATCGATGCTTGAGGTGCCTGCAAACAAGTGCAAGTCAGTGGCTAAGGAGTGAGGTTCCTATGCAAGCTTCCCTCCTGTGCCTGCTCATCTGCTCAGCCCAGGGGACAAGTGGCCATAAACACTTCCTGAGCACTGATAGCAGGTACCAGGAAAGCCACAAAGAGAGTCAAGTACTCAATCTTCACCTTAGGACCTCAGATTCCAACTAGAAAGACAAGATATAGGCACATGGAAAGCTCAACTCCATATAAAGAATTAATAAACATTCCATACTTAGCCTATTTCCCACTTGTCCCCGTTCTAGGGTAATGCATGGACCTCAAAAGCCCCTGGTCAAAAAACTGGCCCAATGCTATATCTGAGAAAATGCTTCTTGAAGCTGGAATACATACTCCCTAGCTCTCTTACCTAAAAGATAAGGATCCACCTCATTCCAGTCAAAGGAGGTCAGTGGAGCACAGAAATCAGAGTTCTTGTTATTGTTTAGCAAACATTCCAGCCTGGTCTCTGTTTCACCAACCTGAAGGAACAATAATTTTAAAAATCAGCCAGTCTTATCCTCCTAAAAAGTCTAAAAAGCCCTGTTTAGACAATATATCAGTAAATATAAGACATAAGGGAAAAACATTTTTATCATAAAGAATAATAGACCCAGAGGAACTCCCTGAATGCTACTTCTTTCCATATTTTCTCCTCTGCCCAGTTTTGCTTTCTGAATTTCCATCCCACATCTTTCTAGAGGAGAGGTCTTCTCACCCTTGGTGGGCACCATGCCCCCAGGCTATAGGAGACACCCTGACAAAAAGCTCAGCTGAGACGGGAAGGGAGGCTCCAAGATCCACTCACATACTTCATTAGATCTAATGGCTTGGTATTTTGTTTAATTCACTCAAAAATGTCTTGGCTGTAAACAGAATATGAGGTCCCAAGTATCCCCACCTCCACTGAAAGCTGTCATCGTCACATCAGGTTAACTGAGCCTCAGGTATCCATGGCTGACTGCATCGAGCAGCAAGACTGAAATCTGCTGAGCTGAATGAGGTCAGTCCAGATAAGCATCACTTGCTTCTCCCACAAGGCACTGCCTCTAACCCAGTCTGTTCTCTGTGACTCCACACTGCTAGCAGCTGACACTGAAAAAGCCCATTTGCCTGGCTGTCCATCAAGCATCTGCTTACCCTCCACACGCGGAGATAGTCACCACTTGTTGCCAGTAGGTCTGGATAGACGCCTTTTGTATCAGGGATCCACATGAGCTTTGTGGTAGGATACGGGTGGTCAAAGGTATTTCGGCAAATAAACTCCGAACTCTCCTCATCTAAACCAACAAGCTGAACCTGTAACACACCAAAGTTGAGCCACATAAGCATTTGTTTTTCTGAAGCTGTATGGCTTGTTCCAGCATTTTCTTTCAGAGTGTTTTGAGGAACAAAAATTTAAATTTTGATAACATCTTTTGTCATTTTTCTTTTCTAAGCTCATGCCTGTTGTTTCCTAGCTAAGAAATTTTTGTCTAACCCCAGTTCACAAATACTGTCTCCTTTGTTTTCTTCTAAAAGTTTTCAGCTTCGTATTAGGTTTATGAGCCATTTCGAGTTAAATTTTTTATATGATACAAGGTATAAATCAAGTTTTGCTTTTTACATATAAATGTCTGATTGTCCCAGTATCATTTGCCAAAAAGACTATCCTCTTTCCTTTGAATTACCTTGACCCCTTTATTGAACATCAATTGACCATGTATATGCACATCTATTTCTGGACTCTATTTTGTTCCATTGATCTATATGCCCACTTGTTTGCCAGTATCTCACTGTCTTGATTATAGTAGCTTTCTAGTAAGTCTTGAAATCAGATAGCATGAGTTCTCCAACTCTGTTCTTTTTCAAAATTGTTTTGCTATTCTATACTTTTGCTTTTCCATATACATTTTGTTAGATCTAGCTTGTTCAGGAAATTCTTACACATAATTCTGAAACATATGCTATAGATAGCCACAATAATCACATCAATAACTATAGGGTTTAAAAAGTTATAACTGCAAGGCTGTGGAAACAGCCCAAGTATAGCCACAATCAAACATACTTTGCATCCAAGATGGATTATTAAATGTGTGGATAATGAGTGTATACCATAGGAAGATACTACATTTTCAGCTCTAAGAATACTAACCGTGGTTAATAGCAACAAATCTTATAATTTTCCGTGGTTAGTAGCTGGACCACACTACTACTTAAGGAGTGAAGTAGTCCCAAGCAAAATGGAAAAAACAGCACCACATCAAATATATTCACCAGCAACTAGTATTGTACACTGAGCAGCACCTAAGTGGACACATAGGTACTACGTAATAGGGTATTGGGCAGGGGAGAGGGGGAGCAGTGATATACATACATGAGTGAGCATGTGGCACCCATCTGGGGGAGTCGGTCATGCATGAAACCTCAGACTTGTGGGGGGAGAGGGGAAAGGACATTTATTGAAACCTTAAATCTGTACAGCCCCATAGATAGTGCCGAAATAATAATAATAAAAACCCTGCTGAGATTCACTGAGAGATATGAGATTTGTGCTGAAGTCTATAGATCCAGTTTGAGAAGACTGATCTGTCTTGAAAAGAATGCTAGAGTCTTTTATGCCAACCAAAGAATTATATAATCATTATGGTCTGTTATTATACTACCTTTTCTTTAGGCTCTTCTTCCCTTACTACCTTTTTTTTTTATTTTTTTTTTGGTTTTAGAAACCAGAAGATCTGCACTCCTGTTGTAGCTCATAAGCAGGCCTCAAGATGATATGCCAGATGGCATCGAGCACTGGGCTCACAGCACTCAACTCCTGGGCTAAAGCAATCCTTTCTGCCTCAGTCTCCTGAAGTAGGCAGGGACATATAGTGTTTTAGAAAGCCCAATTATAGCCCCTACCATGAATGCTTGTACTGATAGATTTGAATTTTTTGGATTAGATGTTTAAAGGATAGAATTGAAAATGAATGGTTATTTTAATTTGATTTAAATGAAATGAATAATAATTATATGGAATTTGAATTATTTAAAGATATGAAGAAGAATTTATTTTATTGGATGATTGAATGTAAGTTTATTGGAATGATTATAATATATATTAATAATTATTATATTAATAGTTGATAAAATAGATGAATAGTTATTATATATAATATAATGATGATAAGATTCTATGGAAAAATTAATGATAACTAAAAGTCATTTTGAATATGTTTAAATCAAATGTAATGGTCAAAAGGAATAGTTTAAAGAAGAAGATTGATAATTGTAGAAAGTAGAATTTTAAAATATAATATATAATTCATATGAGTATTATATATTGACATAGCAGTTACGTTTGATAGAAAATGTTATATAATGACTAAATAAAAAAAGAAAGGATTAAAAAGGGAATGATTGAGGAAAAAAGAGATTAGATATTCTTATCTAATACAATGAATAGGAATATTTTATTTTTTTTTTAAATTATAATTAATTGTTATTTTTAGAAGTGTGAAATATAAACATATTTGGAAAAGAAAAGAGAATAAGAGGTATAAAAATAATATATTATCAATATTTATAAATAAACTAATATTATAACCCGATTTTGCTCACTTAGCTTAATTAGTTATATGTTTTATTTTTTTAGAATTGAACAGACAGGAAGAAGTCTCCCTTTGTATGCCTCAGGACTAATGATAGAATGATGGAACACGAGCTCAGGCATTCAGCCTGGCTCAGCATTTGACATACCATCATTCTCACCTGGGCTGCGAAAGTTAAAGATCCTAACTGGCCTCCAGCTCCAAACCGGAGTAGGTTAAAATCTGGGACTATAAATTACATGGCCATTTGCGCCACCTTAAATAGTCCACTGGCTAAATTTTTTGTATATATTGTATGCTATATTTTTAGTTATGATGGTCAATATTGTTAATATTATTATTATTCGTAAATTTGTTTGGTAAGAGATGGTAGTACTCTCTGCTTCAGCGGCTTGGTTTCGAAGACTATAGTCGCTGACTCATATATACGATAGACGAATCCGCCACGGGTCAATCGGCCCATCCATGACAAGAGTGCGTATTTAGGAAAGTATGATACTTAGGCGTTCTAAAGTACTGTAAGACCACCTTAAAATAAAAATTGCAGCGCGCTTAGCCATGCCGCAGCTTACATGTAATATTATTAATCTATATTTGATGACAGTAATCTTATCAGTTTGGTCGCTAAAATAGTATTTTTACTTATAGTTCCTTATTTTGTAGATATACGATAGACATGGGATTAATGATAGACATCGGCTTCTTGCCTCGAGTAGCCTTGAGGTCTCAAACTCCATAGATCTTGGAAGAGTGTATATTCCACACTTACAGGACTCTGATCTGTGGCATCGTAAATAATTCTCTAGAGAGTAGTGATGCACTAAGGATTACAGTGCGTATCATGCAGCTCACCCAGTTAAACTAAAATATCGCCTGCTTTAGGTCTTTGCTCTTTACTATCTTTCATCATACGATGTTTCTGAGTTTTTAATTGTGTACGAGGTCTATTAACAATTAGATACTTTCTCATTCAAACTTATATTTCTTGGCTTAGGGCAGAACAAAGAAGTGTCAATCAATGCCTAGTGAGGTGAATTCCATTAGCAGCTCTGTGAGGTAGCCGAATGAGACAAATTGGACGAAATAATTGCTGTTTTCAGAGGTGACAAAAAATAGTTCGAGATTCGAAAACCATGGACAAACTGGTAGGCTAATAATGAAAAAGCGAAAAAGCCCCGTAGCCTACTATACAAATAGAAAATGTAGTTCAATGCAATTAAAAAGTTGAGCCTCTATATACATAAATAGGATATTTATTAGTAAGGTTATTATATATGTACTTTATTTAAGAAGTATAGATGCGAGAATAAATAAAAATACCGGAATCATTGAGCTCAGGGAGCAATAGGTGGCGCTATGATACTCATAGTAGTTTACCTCTAGACACTACGTGACAGGATGGCAAATATGAAAGAGGCAGGCAAAGAGACTGAATATATAGATTATTTAGTAGAACAATTAGATTATAGTGATTTTGTAGATTTTTTTAAAGAGACACATTTATTTAAAGTAAGAATAGAGATGGAGAAGATTTAAATGAGAAATGCCCCTGAGGATAGAATGTTTTTAGCTGATCTAGTGTTGTGTATGCAATTTAGTTGTCGGAAGAACAAACCATGCACGGCACTCACTCTAGCCTGGGCAACAAAGCGAGACTCTGAGGCTAGGCGTGGTGGCTCACGCCTGTAATCCTGGCACTCTGGGAGGCCGAGGCGGGCGGTATTGCTCAAGGTTGGGAGTTCAAAACCAGCCTGAGTGAGACCCCGTCTCTACTAAAAACAGAAAATTAACCAACTAAAAATATATATACAAAAAATTAGCCGGGCATGGTGGCGCATGCCTGTAGTCCTAGCTACTTGGGAGGCTGAGGCAGTAATATCACTGGAGCCCAGGAGATTGAAGTTGCTATGAGCTAGGCTGATGCCATGGCACTCATTCTAGCCTGGGCAACGAAGTGAGACTCTGTCTCAAAAAAAAAAACAACAAAAAAAAACTTTATTCTTGTAATTTTTATGCTATTATAAATGGAATTATTTTTAAAATTCTATTTCCAGTTATTCACTGTTACTATATATATATACACACACAAGTGATTTTTGTACATTAATACTAGATCTTGTAACTTTGCCACATTAGTTATTAGTTTTGGTAGCCTTTTTGCATGCTCCTAAGGATTTTCTTTGTATATTATATAGATCTTGTCATCCATGTCTAACTTTTAAGAATCCATATGATGGCTAAATCTAGATATTCATTTTATGGAGCACCCGCAGACTTTCAAAAATCATGTATTAGGGAAGATAGTGTATAAAGATGTAGAATGACACAAAACCCAGAGCCATAAAACACTTAAGATAGCAATAAAAGTGATGTCACAAGGTGATACATGATTAGCTGCTTATTTATAACAGATAATAATCAATAACAGTTCAGAGGAAAAAGAAGTAATTCAAACTAGGAAAGTGAGGAAAAGTGGAATTAGGATCGGAGCAGTCTTCAAAGGTGTATGGGAAGGATCTGATGGGCAGACAGGAAAGGAAAGGCACCCCTGGCAGTGGAACAGAAGGAGCCCATGCACAACAGTGGCAAACTAAATGGCCCACTTGATGGCAGCAAGCAAATCTGTTTGACAGAACCATGTGGGAGAGCAGTGGAGATGTGGCTAAGAAGGTGTGCTAAAGGAAGACTGGAGAGCCCAAAGCAACCTAAGGAAGGAGGTGGGCT